GGAAGGTAAGAAATTAGCTCGATTGCTGAACCTGGTCCTTTCAGGGTAGCTTGTCGAAGTTAGGAGGACGCAATTATTTACCATCGTCCCCGAGCGGCGGGGCACGGGATCGATCCTACGAAATTTCCGCGATCGGAGAACAGCTGCGGCACACTGGGAATCCGGAGACACGAAGTGGAACCGTCGAACCTGACTGACGGTTGCCCGGCGATTTGTAACGAGCCAGACCATGTGCACACCGCGACGTGAGACGGCGGATCCGCACGTCGGACCTGCAGACAAATTACTTTGTTTTGACGGCCAGGAACCGCAACCCTCGGGCCAGTCGACATCAATATCGACGACTGGACTGGCTATCAATTCCTCTTGGTATGGCACGTACACGTGCGTCCGTTTTGCCGCGTTTCTGAAACGAAAAACTGCGGAGTACATGAAATCACCAGGGGAACCATCGGAATGGTCTTTTTTCTTCGACGCTTTCTCCACTTATAGGTCAATTTAACGATTTCTCAAAAGTCGTCAAATCAAACGAAGAGAACAAACCTCAGGTATGTGCAGAATTGTATGGCACAATATTTCCACCAAGTGAAACTTCCGATTTTAATAATTTAGTAGTTTCTTTATAGAGAGATTAATAATACTTTTAAAAATAAATAAACTAAAACATGTATACTGTACATATATTAAAACCAATAGATAAAAGTATTTCGGGAACTAGCACGTTTTCTATTTTGCATTTTTATCTCTTTTTGATATTGGGTTTAGATGGAAAACGATTTAAAGACAATGTTAGACTTCCGTGAGGTATTTCTTGCAAAAATTGGCTAACGGTGCGCACAGGCGATCGACGTTTTGCCCTAAAGTTTAATCGCCGCACGACAATACTGTTGCAATAATTTGTGCGATACGCAGGTGCAGTAACGCGCACGCACATCCCTCGTATTTCACGCCCCTTTGGTTTCCGCCAGACACAGGCCACCGAGTATACTCCGCACGATGCACGGAGTCTATTCGCATTATGTATCCTCGGACGCGAAATTAACGGGAGCGAGAAACGGGATGCGCACTATCGACACTCGAGATGTAATCGTGTAAAATTGGTTTTATTTATATCGATGAATGTGATATTAATCAATGTATCAAAACTGATTCTTCTCGCTCGTAATTAAACCGCTGTTCATATTTCACAAGAAGTAAGAAACGTATACATAATCGGGCGAATCGAATATAATTGTATATCTATGTGTGTTTATAAGTAACAATGGCAGCTCGAATAGTAATTAAAAAATTGACTAAATTTACTCCACGTTACTCGCGTGGAGTGTAAAACGCACTCTAGCCTGAATAATCTACCAAATTCAAAGTAAAACTTCCTTTTTCGTCATATGTTGCATAAATCGTTTCACAAGGACTCTTACTTTTATTTAAAAAATACATGGAATCATTATCAACTTTTACTTAATTATACATTATTAAAGAGAATAATGAAAAGTGAATTTTAATGTTGGGAAATCTAATGGAAAGCACCCCACGCGGATAATTACGTTAAAAAAATTACGCAAGTAATATAGAGTTAATGAGGCAGATAATATTTATTAATTTACTAAAAGGATACTTTATTAAGTACGATAAATTTATTTCGCCTTCCTAGTCAATTGTGCAGAATTAAAATTGATTCAAATAATGTGATATTTTTTTACACAAAATATTTAACGGCTAGAAATACAAAGTGCAGAAAAAGTTTTTTAAATTATAATTTAAATTAAAAACGCAGCTAGGAAGAACATGTTACTGCGATTATCATAAAATTCTTCGTTAGAAATCAGATTATATGTCACTTGGACCCCTTTAACAATTGCTCACATTGAAAAGGATATGCTTGGATGAGAGACGCATCAAGCATTTCTGTCCGAATACCTATGCAAGATCGTTATCTCTAGTTATATACACGGCGTGTACTGCTTTGTTTGCCGGAACGGATATTTGCCCGACGTGTCCAAAGCGAGGAAGTTCGAATTGCGTTGGTCAAGACTGCCGTGGGACTCCGCTTTACGACGTTCTGGTAGCAAACAGCACAAGGAGCACCCGATCGTCCACCGGGTTAACGAGCTTGAAACTATCAATGATAATTGTTTCGATGTGGCGTAAAGCAAAGTTCTTCGGATTACAAATATTAAATTATTTTGAATTTTTCGAAGTGACCATTACACATTCTACATTACACAAAAAGCCGCATACACACAATAAATATGCAGTACCTAAATATTGTAGAAACAAGAGTGCTTTATATTCTGTGTAGTTATTGTTGACTTTTCATTTCAAATGCTTCATTGATAAAGAAATTGCTCCATTTGAAACTAAGAAAACAAAAGTTGTGGACAGATAAAGTTATTGATGAATCTATGCACGAAATAGGGACATCGATAGAATTTCATAAGATTTGTTATTGTGATACGGATCTCAGTAATTGTAGAGCAGATACGTAAAGCCGATAACAATGCACTTTCAATAATATTACTAATTGAATTACCTGTGCTAATAAGCATATTAATTTCGCATAATATTTGATGTTGTAAGATACAATGAAAACATGACACTGATTACATTTCGTGTCGCAGTATTAGTTGAATATATTATATTTCATGTCAAGCTGCATATATCATTCTAAAATAGAAAACCCATAATATAATGGAGGATCAGGTCGGAGAAGAATGAAAGGGTTGTCAGGAAGGCGTCGGAGTCGGGGCATGTCGCTCCTTTTTTTTTTATCGATCATATATCAGCGTTCCGCGGTGTAGCTTTCGTTAATAAATCTTCCCCTGCGTGGAATCTGACTCCTTGCGCGGTTTGTGCTACATAGTCAACGACGATACGACGGAAGATTATTACGCTGCTGCAACCATGATAGCCATATTTTTCTTCTTCCGTTACCCTCGCGCTCCTGATCGTCGTCATTCGGCGCTCTCCCCGGATACATCGGTACCGCAAAACGTTTAGTACCTGTCCCGTTAATAATATTTGCCTCCCCCAGCCCTGTCCTTCCCGCGGGACCATCCTGACCTGCTTCACGAAAGTTTGTGGCACAACTGGCGCATAACTGGCCGCTCGGGTGACTTCTACAGGCTGATCCGAAATTACTTACACCGGGAAAGTTCACATAAAAATTCTTTGATCTCCTTTTTCTTTCGCCGGAGGAAATTTAATTGGATATTACGTTTTTCTATACCCTCCTATTTTTCGAAACTACCTATATATCTCTCAGTACGAATAAAAATTAAGTTTGAATATATGTAGAGATCTAATGAGAACTAAGTTTTCAATATTTATTTACAATTGCTGAAGATTCATTCGGTGAAGTTTTTAATCGTTGCAATCTTCGAATTTTGACTACAGTAAAATTAGATATTGTTAGGATCAAAGAATTTTAACAAGGTTTATCGGTATTATTCAGGATACTTAAAAGTTTCTTCTTTATTTATATTAACACCTCGGTGTTGTGGACATGTGATTGTGGGCAGTCTATCATGACAGAATATTCAGATACTACAAAACAGACGTTACGCACACTTATAAAATTACATGCCCACAGCCAATACCGACAGGCAACATCTGTAAACAGTCTAATCTATTTACCGTAATATCAAATTGCCAATATTGATCGCAAGGTTTAGTTAGATTTTCGTAAAGTCAATCGAAACCTGATCGAATCCCACTAAAATCCTTTTAATAAGTAGGTCAAGGTTGAATCGATAAGTGCGCTGTCGTTTGAAATTCCATTTTAGATTTAAATGCACATAAATATCTGTTGAAAATCATAATTGGCTGAGAAATTAATTACGTGTCTCCGGCAAGTGTCATCGAAGCAGATAGCAATTCCTAGGCAGCTTCATGTATCTATCACGTTCCATTCATGCTCTTACAGCGAAGGTATTATAGCCACTGCGTATCTCTCTCGTAAACAACTGCCGCCTCATTATTTAGCACTTCCCTCATTAATAACGTCTTATTATCCAACAATATCGTCTTTAATAATAATAACAACTTTGCAATAACCATCGATTCGAAACTGCAGCTGGTGAATGTTTTTCCCAAGGTATGTATAATAGTTGTAATAATTTATATACAATTATTTATCTCTACAATTCTATATAGCGCATAAATATTATATCCAATACTTAAACTATAAAACTGTACGTAAAATAGTTGCAACAAATAATCTGTTAGAACTTTTTTAAGTAAAAATCGATTTTACGTTCATAAGAAGTGTTATTGAAATTTAATGTGTTAGTATATACGTATTTCTATATAAAACTTGGCTGTAAAATTTGTGCATTAGGTCTAAGATCCTCTCAATGGATATCCGATAATTCTACATACTATGAAAAAATGCATTTAAGATTTTAAATTGTACTATAGCACTTTCTAGGATAAGAAGATATATAAAAGTGATCAACTTTCATCGAGAGTTTAAAATATCATCAAAGTTGTCATTAATTTCTGCTAATATGATGCCTAAAAGCTATTTGCTGCTTTTCGTGATACTTTTTCACAATACCAACTGATAGGATTTTTTATCATTAATATAGAACATAATAACACAGTTATATAGATAATAACATAATTTCATCAAAATTAAAACATATTAAGTCACTTATTATTGGAGCTATTATAGAACTAACTTATTATTGGAGCTATTATAGAACTAACTTTCATAAGGAAAAGTAAATATCCGACTAACGAATTTTCCGTTACAATTCCATCTTCACACCTCTTTTTGTACAATCATAAATTTGTTTAGTCTATCATTGCGTTGAAATAAACAATATAAGTCTTCTCTAATTATTTTTGTCTAAGGCCCGGTTGCACCAACGTCGCTTAACTTTAACCTTAGCTTCATTCACTCTCTTTGTCTCTTTCTAGGCCTGGTTTTTCATTTTCTGGTTAATTGTTAACCAGAGATTAGTCGATTCTCTGTCTATTCTTAGATAATAACAGAAAAGAATGGAAAGTAGACTAACGTCTGATTAACAGTTGACCAGACAATGAAAAACCAGACCTAAGGGAAACAGAAAGAGACGAAGAGTGAATTAAGGTAAAGTTAAGATTCCGTGACGTTGGTGCGACCGGGCCTAAGGCTTCATCCCGATGGGAATTAATTTTCTGTTTAATTGCAAAATGTCATCAGACACTTTTCAATAATTTCGAATATTATTTGAATATTTAAATCTACTAAAAGAAACAATGGAATTATTACGATTACGTGGAAATCTTCCGGAATAGTTCCATAATATAACTTGTCAGTATCTAGCTCTGTTGTTAGAGACTTTGCCATATTTCGCCGAACGCCAAGATCGCGGAAACAGTTCTTTCCAATAAATTTCCTGCGTGATTTGAGATTGGACCGATGGGATTTCATCCTTATGATTGTTGTCTTCCTTTAAGGACGAAGTTTTGCAGAGGAAATCGCGAAACACAAGCGCGACGAAGTACAGAATCTCCACTATACTGATGAAACTGAAGCCAATGAAGACACCACATATACCGCCAATATCACCTGCAAAACGACCATCTTTATGATACGACGTCTTGATAGCAAGTAGAATAAGATGATTCGGTGAAACGGCGGCGGCGTGTTTTTAGTGTGCACCCTTTAAAAAACATTACGCGCACATAGTAGCAATTTACACTATAAAAGAGGAGATAGCGGATTTTTACAGCAATACTGCTGCTATTCTCTTGTTTCTTTTACAAGCCTGCCGCCCTTTAATAATGCTTTGTAGATCAGATATATGATACTATTTTTCTTCCTAGTCCATAAGTGCGCAGACATATTATACATATACATATGTACAATAAACCTAATAAACCTTCCATAAATAACTTTGTATTAATGTAGAATTATTACTTTCCACTAGTTTATATGAAAAACTTGTAAAGGCTCTTCAAGGTAAATTTAAATGAACGTAGAATTTAAACACAGCATTAGATTAGTGTTGAAAAAGTGCAGCTGTCACTGAGACATCACCGCTTTTTCTGATTTTTGTAATTTATGTATAAATCAAAATATATATTTATCAAAGAATATATGCGTTTAAATTTTAGAAGAAAAGATTTTTTACCGAGAAAAGTTTGGCAAGCCGAAAATTCCTAAAAATCTAAAACATTGCGGAAATATTTACAACTATGTGCATAAATAAAATGCATATGTGTACATATAATATATATAATCAAATTTAAAACTCTGCGTTTTTCTAATACATATATTAATTATATACATATATTAGAAATTGTTTTCCTAAAATAAAATTTTCAGAGTTATGAAAAGTCGAATGTCCAGTAAACTTTTTATGCTTCTCAAAAAATGCTCCACGCTTCAGCAATTTGTTCGCAAAGTAAGCGCCAGCAAGTAGATATTGCGTTCTATGTGAAAAGTATTATGTTTTTTTTTATACACGAGAACCAGTAGAGAAACGTTATACACAGTCGGATATTAAAATTCCATTTTTGAGAACCCTCGGGCATCCTACAGAAGACACGGACAGAAAATTTCTCTTCTACACTATTCTACCTTCGCTTATGTGATACTTTTTTTATATGTTTAGTATCATCTGTGAAAAAGATTTGCTCGTCGTTAGTTTTCATGCCGAATGCAAGGTTTTACGTGGCTTGCTTCTTCTTTTGCAAGTAAAACGAAAAATAGTTAAGGCAAATATTGCAGTCTGAGGTATTTTCTCCAAGATCTAATTATAGATATGATATACGGAGTAATATGAGAGATGTTAGATATATTTTTACACCAAATTTAATTAAAGATTAGTGAGACTATATTTTTTATACCCATCAGTCTTAGATATTCATTTTGTACAGTTACCTTTATGTCTCTTGCTAAAATTTGATTATTAAAATACATTGCACAAAACCGAGCAAAATGATTGAATGCATAACTGCAGGATTTGTTAGAGAGAGACATGAATAAAAAGAAACGAATCTTATGTTTCTACAATTACTCTTATGTTCAAAATAGGTTGCGTTTTTATATTGTAAGCTCTTTTTTAAAAAACTTCGTCTACTAAAAGTGTATAAAAATTCCGATTCGCAGAATTTAAATTTGACTTCTTTATACAATATAATTTGTTGACAATCTGCACTTACTCATGAGTTCGTACCAATAAAAAGCCACGTCTTGTTTTAATCTGATTGTGCCATATTTCGAGAAGTATACATGTAGCACTCCTTCGTCAGTAACATTGTAATTCCATCTGAAAAAACGCGACAACAGTATCTCGGCGCCTTTTTTAGAAACGATATTTAAAGGATTTCAATTCTTACACTCATCCCTCGACTTACGCAGTACCTACTTTTTATACGCGGTTTCAGCTTTACGCGATCTTATTTCACGTGGTCGTATAATATGTACAGTCGTGGTCAGAAAGGTTGTCCGACGTTTCGTGGTAAATTTCGGAATACAGTCTATCGTGCGAGAGATTACAGCTTTTGCTCACGGATATGTGCAGTGACGCATTATTAGAGCAAAAGAAGAAAACGTCGGACACCTTTCTGACCATGACCGTATATCGTTAAAAGAGATACACGCTGATATCGAAACTATTACTGAAATAGAAGTACCAAATATTTCTAGTGATGACGATAGTAATTTAAACAATTAAAACAAAAGGTAACCGCTTTGGTATACAGGACTGATAGTGACAGCAAATAAAATTTAAATGTGTCTTTCTGAATTATTATTTTTGTAATGCAAATATGTAAAATAAATATTTTTGCAACACACACGGGTTTTTCTCTTACGTTTGTTTTGTATGGCAAACTCCATTTAAGCAATTTTTTATTGCGTAAAAAACCTCGTGCAATAAATATTTCGCGTAAATCGAGGGATGATTGAATTGACAAAAATTAACAAAAATATCGTATACTTACAATAAATTGGTATTATATCCACCGGGACTCATGTTACTCTTCCAAGTAAATACATCGTAACTAACATCGTTACAGGCAGGATAACAATTCCGACAATGCAAAGCGTTTTTTTCCAGCCGGAAAATATTACCTTCATCGTCATAAGGAAAAATCGTCAACCATTTAGCTGCGTCACGAAAAAAAAATCATATCAGCAACGCAATTAAAATTAATTAATGTGTCTAATAAATTATAAGTATTATGGATATTAAAATAAAAAATTGCTTATGTATAAAAAGAGATTGGTTTCTACATTATTAACGTATTATAATAACAACGTTTACATTTATACTTAGCCAGGCAATTTAAGTCCTCGCTGTTGCAAACACGCCATGACCCTGAAATATGTAACAAGGTATACGTCAATCAAAACATAATTATGAATACGAAAAATATTTATATGTAATTAAAAATTCGTAATCAAAATAAAAATATGTAATTAAAACTTCGATTATGCCATAGACATATTAACCATAGAATGCTTATGAGGCTGTGGGGGGGAGGCGTCCTCCTGAGGGAAAAGGATAGTATAAATTTATTTGGGTGTCTATTTTTCTCTGATTTTCGTGTCTCACACCCACTAAAATAAGATAGACACTCAAATAAACTCATACTATCATTTTCCCTCCTCAGGAAAATGCCCCCACTTAGGGCCTCTACTGTCTCATAAGCAGTCTATGGTTAATATGTCTACGGATTATGCCTGTTGTAACAAAACTCCCCGAAAATTTCCTATAATCCAAAGTGTATGATACCACCAGATAAGATGACATTGTTATTACAAAATTTACTTAAAGAAAAAGACAGAAATAAAAATTTTCAAGAAATGTTCATACTTCGAGCGGTGTAAGGAAGAATGGAGGATATATCGTGCAGTAGTACGGGCGTCGTTGCACGTGTTGTTGATTAATATGGAGAACGAAGGAGGCAGCCACGAGAAAAACGACTCCAAGCACGCCCTACGCTATCGATGGAGCGCGAGAAAAAGAGCAATCGGGACGGCTTTAAAACTAAAGAACGGAGAGAGGAGTACTTGGCGTTGCATGCGTCGCTTTCAGCGAGTTCCTCTTCTTCGCTAGAACCCCGGCCACGGTAAGTTAATCCTACAGAGCGATGCTTCACGCGATCCGCTTTAATGCTTTAAGCCACCCGTGGTAAAGCCTCGTTAGAAAGCTCGCGAACGCGTACGCCTCGCAATGCGGCGCGCAACGTTCCTTTACAGATTGCCGCCCACGCCTCTCGACTTCGTGATAGAAGAAAGAAATCGCCGGGATGTAAGAGGGTGCACAGGTCTCGGGAAACCCGATTTATCCAATAAGATACGATCCTTTTGCCGTATCTTCCGTTTAAATCTTGCTTTGAGTCTCAAGTAATACTATATTTAACTCATAAAAATTAATCGCCTTTTATCGTGGTGTACTTTTATTGCCGCAATCATAATTCTATTGTAATTAATATCTGATCAATAATTATTACTTATTTCAATCCTTAAATTAGTAAAACGAAACTTAAAACTTTATTCTTTGTGTTTAGATTTTACATCCATTTTTATCGTATTTTTTATTTAATGTTAGAGTACAGATTTCCATTTCATCCCAATTCTCGTGACAAAATAGAAAAATCGATATGAGAAATGTAAGAGGGATGTGAGGAATTGACGGGAATCTTATTGGAATTCTAAAAATATGTTGTCTATGGCGTTATTATATTGACTGTTCGCTCAAATTGATTTCTCATTTCTCTTCTCTCATTGATTTTCTATTTTTTTTTCTTTTATTGCCGAGAACGAAAATAGTCACATCGTTACTGAAATTTTTTATGATTCTCGAATTGAGATTATATTTAAGTATTTTCATGTATCTTAAAAGACCGCTAAAAATACGTCATATAACAATATTATTAAAATATTATTACAAAAAGTGCAAGAATAAAGAAATCAACATTTTTTACATACTCTTTTAATTCGTATAACAAATTAAGTTTTTCATTGAAGAAGAATGACTTTCGTCAACACAAAAACCCTCTGGAAAATCTATAAGTTTTTATGAATCATTTAATCCAGTTTTATCAGGGTTCTATTAATAAATAATAAATAATAATGATGTTAAACAATACCATATGTTCTTTTTCCTTTATCGTATTTTCTAAAATATGTAAACAGTTTGCTATTAAATAGGAGAAGGTACGAGAGCTAAATTGGATAACAAGAATTTGAGATCTAAAAGAAGAAAGAAAGCAATACTATTTCCTCCGAAGATTGCTAGCAATATTGTCGAATTGTAAGCCTCGGTAGACTGTGATGCGCTGCGAAGAAACACCAATGAAAGTAGTTTGCGCTCTTGCAAGTGTAGGGTTTATAAGTTCGTTGTTATCATTCTATTAACATCGAAACTCGTCAGTTGCTCGAATATACGTTTTGTCGGTGTGGATCAAGTTAGCATTTATTTTATCGAGATGGTTTTCATATGATTCGATTATAGATACATAAAGTATTATTCGCGATGATTATAATGATTATTATCCTCCCACTTGATGATGTACTTGTCTCTATTAACGAGGTATTGTAGTCTTTATTAGCTGTACTTGTATCTCTTCCATATTTGTGCATTTAATGGCATAATTAGGTGTGTTTAATAGATCCCCCAAACCACCGTGTATAAATACGACAATGAATTGCACGGGGTGCTTTAATTTAATACTTTCCTATTCATCTCTAAAGACTGATTATCATCTACTTGCATCTTAGGCTTAATACGTGAAAATTTCTAAATTGTTAATTGCTCGAAACACCTAATGATATTTCAATATTACTTTAATATTTTTTAAAATTTATTCCAAATTATAATAAGACTTTTAAAAAATTTGTTTATAAAAAACCTAGTACTTCTAATATCTAAAAAAGAGTTACTTCTATTAGATATATTTTCTTATTAAAATCATATATATTCCTTAAACCGCAAACTTTATTTGCAAATTACAATTTGAGCTTTAAAAAAGAAAGCATTAGCAAGCGCAGAAGTTTTGTGTTTGCAAAGTAGGACAGAATTGTACATCAGTTAAGAGGCTTTTACAAGTAACAAAATGTAATATGGAATTTTGATAAATAAAAACCTTATTATAAAATCATAGACGCTGGAAGATTTAATATCTCGTCTACCATTACTATTTAACTCCCCCTTGAAGATTGTATCATGCAATAGAAATTCTTAACAAATACTTTAATATACGAATGAATGCAATCGAAAAAGAATTGTAATTCTGAAAAAGTATTACGTATGTCGTTTTTATCTCAAAAACGATACATAAGTTGCATTTTATATATTGTTAAACATTTTCTTTAATTTTGTAAATCAAATACGTTAAGCAATTTTTTTAATAATTAAAAAGAAACGTATTATGTCACTTTATCATTAAGTAATAAATTTATTGTTAATAAATAGTAAATATATGTACACATATATGTATACACATATACGTACACGTGCAATCGGTACAAAATAATAATATGAGTAAGCATTGATATGTCTATCAAATAAGTTGTGCATATTTACAACAAAAACCAGAAATTTTCAGAAAATTTAACATTAATTAAGAAAATTAAGAATATAGTTTTACTAACAGTCTGACTTGCTGCGACGTGGGTAAAAGAACGGTCTGCATCCACAAACTTTCTGTATGTTATAAACCTTACAGTCGACGATACAATCACTGTAAGTATACATCGTATCGCTATACATTGGGCTGTCTTCATCTGAAAAAATGCAATTACGTTTCTGCCTGGAGAAACTGTGAACAATTTCAGTACTGATGAAGGCCGTCGTGGTTATGTCCACGAATGTCTCGGAAAGAGGCGTTGCGAATATCTCCGTGACACCACCGGTGGTCATATCCGGATAATCAGTAGGGTTGAACACAATTACCTGAAAACCAAATAAATATATTAGTTTTAGTGCACTATTCTTTCTCTCTCTTTGTTTTTTCAGATGTAATTTAAGTGTAATTAAATGTAATTACATTAAGAAAATTTTTTTAATGTAATTACAATAATGAAATTAACTTATTTTTCATTCATCGTTTAATTAATTCTACGTAACAATAAATTTTTCAAAAAAGTAGTATTATTGTTTCTTTCACAAATAAATTGTATAGAAATGTATAATTAATGAAATAGATAAGTGAGGAAGTTTTTTTACATCAAAGGGGAAATTAGAAAGAACATGACGGTGATGAATTATTTTCGTATGGTACTAAGCAATGAAATGTTTAAAAATATCCAATTTCCCACATAATATTTGTTTCAGCTTGGTTAGTCAAATTACATTCGGACGTTCAATATGCATATAATTCATAAAGCATTTGCTGTTGATGTAAACATCGTATGCGATGTATTTTTTTGCTTGACTCGAGTTTATTTGAGACTCTCATGGTTTTTTAGCATCGCATGTAATACATGTTTTTTTTACACTGCGCTGCAAAAAGAGACACCGTAATTTGTGTAATGTGCTGGTCTGTTTTCACAAGTTAATTACAACGCAGCTGACATTTACCTGGAATACCATATTGCAACTATGCTCTCTGTACGTGTATCTGTATTATATCTGTTATATTTTCAAAACCAAGCATCCCAAAAACAAAGAACAGAAATAAAATTAATCATCCTAAAAATTGTTTAACAATAATATATAAATTAATTTATATATAAGATTAATTTATATATAAGAACGTAGAATATAGATAATTTTTATTATCTCAAAATCAAGAGATTTTGGATATCTTGATGTTATTAAAATGTTTATAACATATATTTACAGCATATATTTTGGAAAAATATTTTAACGATAAAGACTTCCTTAGAAATTTTGGAGTTAATTTTCCTCAACAAAAATAATAAAAAGGAAAGAACTTAGAGCAAAAAAGAGTATTAAACGTATTTAGGTAAGACTCTGTTAAACTATTAGGCTAACATATGAACGCTTGACACTTTCTATACAATAATTATCTATTTAAAATTTGCTTGAAATTAGTACCAAATAATTCTTTAAAACTTTTTAAAAATATATAAATATATAATAATTACGTTTATTGTAAAATGTTTTTTAAGTTTGGTTAGTTTTACACCTGAAATAATACGACAAAAGTATAGAATACAAAAGAATAGAATCTTCCGGTATGTTTTTGCTCGAATGCAGGTTCTCCGTAAGTGCTGCTACAGCCTAAAGTACACACTACACAGCAAATATGGCGAAGTGAAGGAAACGCGCGATTATATCGCGCCGCTAATGACTTTCACGAGCTTTTTATCACCGTGCACTATGCGCGAATGAAGCACAGGTGGCCTGTAATGGCACGGTAAGCGTGGAAAAAGTTCACGACATGAAGCAGCTACCGATTACCTTTATCGCAGAAATAGATTTGATGTGTGTAAGATATAATTAAAATATAATATATACATATGTATTGTATATTATATTAATTTAAATAATTACTGAAGCTCGCATTAATTCTTAGGAAATAGTTTGGAAATTAGTTCATGAAAAAATAAGATTTAAATATTTACGTTTATGCTAGGAAAAATATACTTCTTAATATTAATAGAGAAACATCAGATTCACTCGTTATATTGTAATACTGATTTTCTAGCCAGTTTTGTGTACAATCTGAAAATTATATATGCATATGTATGTGTGTGTTATAATTTTCAGAATACCTATAATATATATCGTTATATTAAATACACATCGTCATATTAAACTTTTAATATATACAATTTGCTTAATATTATAAGTAAACAATAGTACGTTTTATTATTTCTTTCTGTTTCTGAAAATTCAAGGATTTAACAATAATTATTTTGTAATACAGGTAATAACTTTGCTTAATAAATCTGACACTAATTGTTAAACATTTATCACCAATAATCACCAACAAGATATAACTTCCTAATTGTCTGTGTGTTAAATGCATTTAAAAGTTGGATATATATGTACCTATATATATATATTTCGTGATATTTCGCACTATAGAATCGAACGTTAACGCTTTAGCATGATAAAGTATTGCGAGAATAAATCTTCATTTCGCTCGATTAGCCCCTTTTCATATTCAGCACTCGTGGTAACAACTCGTTACGAGTCGAATATGACCCGTTTTCGCGAGACGAAGATATTTCCAGGCAATTCTCATGCAAGGCGTTTTCTAAATTATATGTTAGATTAGAATTTTACGTACTAGAGATTCTACGTAGAGCGAAAAATTCTTACGGCTTCTTATTGCCTTTTTACAAAATAATAAAATCTGTAGAATATCTTCGATTACTCTTTATAAATATTCATCTTAATTTTACATTCATTAACGCAACTGAAGAAATCTGGTTTACATAGCCGCTCCTTAAGGTTTCAAAGAATTAAATTAAGTCCCCATGTTTTAATTAAGACTATTAATTATTTTTATGAAATTCTGTTGATTGCGCAATTTCTTTTTTACAACTATTTTAAATAACAGAAGTTCTTTACATTCATTCAAACTTTTATCATTACCTTGATAAGCAAGACACGCTGACGAAGTTAAACGAAACATTCTACGAACACTCTATGTAATTATGCATTATCAAGTTTCTCAGAATCTAGGTTAAACAAAGCTGTTTTTTGGTTAATTAAAAAAAAGAAGGATTTTCCAGATTTTAATTTTGCATGAACGATAAATAATTTTTCCTTGACGGCAGATTTAATTTTGGCTCCGAAATGAAATGGTTCTCGAGAATGTGGGGTATTAGAGATCACCGTGTTGCTTCCTCGACTTATTAAATAGCACGTTATGCTGTTTCTACTTGCCTTCCAACCCTTAATGGGCAGTATTGAGGAGAAATAATCATCCAAAAGTGGATCCATTACGACTGTTAGCCCGCGTTCTATTCCGAGATCCGCTATTTGATGTATATAAAGCGACTCCAACGTACCGTTCATTCTGTCAAGACAGAATTACCGCCATTGATTTTTCGAACAAACACATTTAACGTTACATTTAATGTAACAGATTTTTAAATTAAATAATCCACGTTCTTCTTTCATGACGCTTTAAACCAATTAACATTTGACATTGTTCGGTGTTTATTATTAATTATTACGATTAAATTAAAATAAATAAACGTTTTCTTCGCGTAAATTGTGCTTGTAATAATAACAATAGTATTAATTCCTTATTGACATAGGGTCATGTTTTTTTTATCAAATACGTCTCTCCATACATTAATAAATTATTAGAACATAACTTGCATAAGAGGAATTCCACTATGCTTTAAAGTTAGAAGTTCTAGATGTCAAATTAATATAAAAATTCATTATAAATATGAATAACTAATAGAACTTGAATTTTACAGAATAAGCCTTTCTTCAAATAAAAATAATACGTACCTATAAATATTTGTTAAGAAAAATTTACTCGCGTATTAATGATCGAAAGAATACTCATGAATTATTCTAGATGGCTTTTCCAGGTCGCAGTAGTTAATCTTTTATAATGCGTCGCGTGTACAAAGAGAATTAAAGCAAATGGCAGTATTTTCCCGCGATATAATTGATAAATTGCTATCTAATCGACAAACATTATGGGCCATTTATTGGAAAGAATATAGCTCGCGTTATGAATCAGTTCTTATCAATTTCACAACTTTCAACCTATACATATTTAAAGTAAGTAAAATCATTTAAAAAATAATAATACGTTTATTCTGTTCTTTTTTTCTCGTCGTCAAACTATAATGACAAGTACAGTAATGTAAAACGAACGATAAAATAATTTTTTATCGTACATAATGATAGCCGTAGGGAATATGCTTCGTTTGACCATACTAAAACATGCCACTGCACTGCCTGCACGTGAGTAAACTAGTCGAATAAGCGGTTAAACTACCGCGTGCTGTATACTTCTCGGAAATACATTTAGAGTGAAAGCGTGGAATACTCACACGGGAATGTCGTCGCTTTCGCGCGCGTAATTGAAGGTACAACAGTATCCATCTTGGGTTTTGCGAAACGTGAAGAGCTCTGAGCAGTTCCTATAAACCCCATGCAGCTTACATTTCAATAGCATCATCGAACATTGCGGCGTCAGCTGGAAAATGCAAATATACGACACGTGTCGCCGTAACTTGCCGACAATTTCCCGTACGATAACAACAGCGGCCGACACGCAAAGTATCGTGCAAATAATATTTTAATTGGTCCTCGGAGAAAACCTTTCGTTTAATACTTCTACACCGGGGAAACATAAAGTAAGCGATTGCCCGCATAAATAATTTCTGTTTGCTGGAATCACGAGAAAACTGAAAGTTAGGGAGATAAATTTATGCAGAGAGTACCCGCGCAAAAAATCGGGATAGTATTAACGGGATCGTGCTTTTCAAGAAATTTGCATTTCAAATTGGAGAAATTTGGATTTAAATTCCCATTATTATACTATTATATTTAACAATAGAGTTTAAGCAATTTTTAATTACAGTTATCTAATTACGTAATCTAATAATTAGAAGGATGTGTTATTGTATACATAAACATATAAGGAAAGTCTAGTGAAAGTTTAAATAAAACTCTAATATATCATATTTTGGCTGCATACATACTTCTTTCATCGTATCCGTAATATCGTAAGACCCATTGAAATAAGTCGTTAAAAGTTTATGTAGTTCCACATTAAGACTTGCATCCATAACGAAAGTGGAAGCGTAGAGATCGCCCAAATGCGTCAGCAAGTCGAGAATTTCATCGACTGACTGGTCCGTGACTTTTGCATTAAAACTGATAAAAAAAATTTAGTGAAAATTTCAATTAAAGGTATCGTACTTATATGTATAATATCTTCACAGCTCTCAAATATATCTTTATAATTCATACGACTATTATTAATTAATAATCTGGGTGCGTTTGTTATATTGACACTATGCAACTTTTGTTTGAACATTTTTTTATAGAGCAAGTATTTTACGATTTATTGAAGGTCGTCAAGTTAGACGACTCACCCTGTATATTTAGTTCAATCGAAATTTATGATCAACAATCTCTCCTCACAATATAGGAGCTCGTTAAAAAATTACGGTGGCATTAATCGATGCGCAAGCGGGAAAGGAACTTTTGCTACTGAACTATCTGAAACTTTGAAGATTCCTGTTCCGAGTCAACAATTCCGGAAACGTCTCTTTCATTAACGGGGACCAAAAGTTCACGAGTGGCTACGAGATAGCATCGCGCGCGAAACGGCTGGATTTTAGGATATTAACACCCTATTAAATGAGCCGTAACCACCAATTCTACGCTCTCCATCAATGCATCGATCCGTTCTCGTTGCGTTCAAAGAAAGTGCGCGATACCGAATTAATGATAATCGGCGTGCCAGTTGACTCGGGACGTGTAAAAAGCGATGTAGGATCCAATGCGTTGAACGGTCGATTGAACTTGGCGTATATATCGTATCAATTGTGTCGAGTTAGCTCTACTATTCTCTGGTCAATAGGAGAATACTACTATGATTAGTACCTGTCCTCAGTTGCAGGTTCGCATCTATCACCTATAGATACGTATCATTTGTCGCACCTATGATCTCTATATTCGTTTATGTAGAATGTACATGTAAATCAATTGCTTATTGTTGCAACGTTAACCTTCTTTAAACAATACAATTAATAACAAAATTAAATAGCAAACGGCTCCAATGTGGTAAATAAAATTGAACCAAGAAAGGGTTAAAATGAGCCAAGTGCAGGAAACAAAGCGTAATAAATGTTCATTGGCTTGTATTAGCCTCTTCTTCGTTCAAATTTGTTTAATGTAACTAATATTCGCCGTCGTTAATAATATTAACTTAATTATAATAAGAGATTACTTTAATTTGATTTTTTGATCAATGAATCAAAAGACAAAGAGTTTGTAAACAATCTTTAATGCCACTGTTATAATTTTTCAAGAGACTGCATGAGAAGATTCAAAGAGTCCATAGAGTGAGTAAAGATATCAGAAATTAGATAAATTAATGATGATACACATGATATTAGCCTGATCGACATTATCAAATATTTGCACTGTCGCTTTATTATCAATATAATCTAGAGATAAATCATGCGTTCAAGCCGGCGATATTTGCTGATAGATATTTGCGATTTGCGCTGGCCGCGTGCGGTGACCGTTTATAACTCGTACGGAGAAAATTCGCGGAATAATACGCGTTAAACTGCCAGCGAAACTAAACTTCGAGCAATCCCGATCGATTGTGCGATTGGTGTAGTTTGATGCGAAACTGTAAAATCACACCCACATTCAAAATGTGGCTAAAGTGGACCCGCGTGTGCATCAGCACCTCGCCATCGTTCGTGCACACGCGAATGCGTTTGTTTAATATACGTGAATGCATGCAGTTTGCGTTTATTTAATACACAAATTTCGCTCACATGTTGGTCGCCAGTTCTGTCGCGGATTGCCGACTTATCCTGTTAATAGAACAGATGGCGATTCCTGAAAATTATCGAGGCGTATACCTTTAATCAATCAGATAAAATAAAGAGAAACTAAAAAACAGAAAATCACTTTAAAGTATGAAAATTCTTTACGTTTATTAGAGAAAGTATTGATATAACATTTTTTAATTTTTATATTCTATAATATATGTATACACATGTGTATGACAGCAAGAATTAAAAGAACACAGTTTAAGCACGTAAAAAAGAAGAGTTTAAATATTAAAAACGTAAAAAAGACAGAGAAATTAAAGATTTTTATCTTTAATTGATAATGGCTTGTATAGTTATCTTATATGTTTAAATTATTTACTTATTACATTTGTTTACATTGCTTGTATTATAATTCTACTTTCAACCTAATTTTAATACAATAAAAGCTTTTTCATACAAATATATAGGTGAGCACATATAAATTTAAATATTTTCGTAATTATTACGATTTATTCCCTTTTTCCTAGGAAACTAATTATCTGTTAGAAGATAAATAATCCTGATATGAAATATATCACGAAAGTTTTATCAACTACAAGATAGGTATATAGAAATTAACTGTTTTATGCTGCTATCAAAATCCAAATAAATCTCCATAAATAAATTGCATGCATGCATGCAAGTTCGAGGAAACAGCTTAATCTCCGTACCTGGCATGTTTAAATTTGTCGTTCTGTAACTATCTGTTTCCATGGAAGTTACCAAAGGTGTCAATATAAATTCTTGATAGGAAAGATAAACCATAAACACCAGAGTAGATATAACTAGAAAATGTATTATAACCCACAGAACTCTGAAAGATGTATTTTTTTAATTTAATTTCATAAACAAGCGCGAAAATACCTTTACAATATTTGTATGTGATTGAAAGCGGCAACAGGTGACTTTGGTCGCTTAAATTATTTAGTTTTAAAAGTTTCGAGGCAACAATATTTAAAGTATAAGCAAGAAAAAAATACATTCGCGAGGTATAAGCGTCATCAAGTAACAATTTATTCCTGTTTGTACCACAATGCGTTCATTACCGAATTCGCACGGCGCTATTAACGTCACGCGTAACATTACATTAAATCAACTGGCGACACCGTATCGCGACGTAGCTCCGTCGTTTTATGGAATTACGTTTTTTTTTCCGTTTTCCATTTTTCTCTTTTTCCCCAAGCACGTCGCGTTTGTTTCGTGATTTGTGGCTAACTTGATTTGTGCGACCCGCTATGAATTCAAGAACCTTTACTCACCGCGACACCGTTAATCTCGCGAAAAATTAGAATACCCTCATTAAACTGTAAGACTCTAATCATACATCCCGTTTATGTGCATGCTGATATAATGTATGAATCTGTAACGTTTTACGTGCACAGTCTCAGCGTAAACCGCTTTTCATTGCTTTAATAAAGACCCGATCACATGGCAAACGGGCTTTTAAACGGAGTTTACGCCATTAAGGACCGGTTGTAAGGGCCCCCAGGTTCTTGGTAAGTTAACTACTAGTCAAATTATACATACACTATGATATTCCTCAAATTAGACAAAGAGAGAAATATAATTTAACTATTAGTTAGTTCCTCAAGAAGTTGGAAAAACCGGCCTAATATATTTGGTCTCAAGAATATGTTGTTACTATAGTGTCCTAAGTTTTGTAAACACCGTAAATTAAAAAAGAAATGTGCAATGTATATTTTGCATATTAATAAATTGAAAAACAGTTTTATATGATATTTAATTTATTTAAAAGTAATATAAATTTTCATATTTTTGTATATCTAGAAATTTCTACGTTTATTGGCACACACTAATTATACTATAAATAAATTAATTTACAATAATAAATAAATAAAATTCTGATTGACTTTACCTTTCAAACCACGGCCTTTGAGTATCAGCAAGATATTTCAAACTGTTTAAACTGGAATATTCACAATACAATTTTAAATACTTTAGTGAAATCTCCGACAATTTTAACGGTGACTTTTCCGAATCTTTCGTCCGTGCTTGCGTGGTAAATATATCATTTTTAGGTTTAACTTTATTTGTTTCTTTCCACATTGTCTATAATCCACCTTGTAAATTATATAACGCAGAAATTAATTCCAACCTACAGCAAATGATTGGTAAAGCTATTATTTTTGTTTGCATTATTGCATATAAGTTTTGCCAATGTATTTCGAAAAATTGCAAAATAAGTTTAAAAGAAATAATTGCAGTTAAAATTACTAATTAAACTTTTTTCTATAGAGATATGAACTGAACATAGAAACTGAGTATACAAAACTGAAGTATTATATAATATATTAAGGTTTCATAAATACTGTCTAAAACAACAACAATGTAATTAATTCAGGTTTAGATATAAACTTTATGATGAAAATATATTCTTATTTAACTATGTTTCCAGACCAACAATTGTATTAATATATGTACTTGCCTTATCACAGCAGTTAGTTTTGTCTTCTACAGAAATCGAGATACACTAAAAAAGGATTCAATTATAGATATATACGTTACGTTTGCAGTAGCGTATTTAATATCCTTAGATTTTCCAACGTCAAACTATCACTCATCTGAATTATGTAGGGCACAGACTCGTTAGAAGATAAGATAATCGATTAAAGGCTTACAATAATTGTAATCTCTTGGGCAATAGTAAACCAAGTTTCTCGCTTTAATAACCGCAAACCGCGCGCGAGAGATTGGAACGGAAGAAACTGTTGTATCTGTATATGCAACACGAAATGAAAACTCCTGTAATGCAATTACACGGTGTTATGGGCGGCGCAGGTAATATCCCGAACACTCGCGCGGCCATCTGGGATTACGACTGACGTCGTTTACATCGAGCGCCGTAAAACGCGCGTGCGACCGATTCGTACATGTGTTCGTCCGCGTTATGACAGAAGAGATCCAGCAAGATCAGATCGTGTATCTGGCGTCGTTCAATTACTATTCCGCTACTTTGATATCGCACTTGCGATCACTCGCTACCGCGGGATATGAAATTGCGCCGTTTGTCGCTTCCCCGGCAATATCGTGAATAGTTTATTAAAGTGCGGGGTACGTAGGCGTTGATATATCATGCCTATAGTTTTTGTGATAGAAAGAAACGACAATTTTTAAAAGACTACCTTGCGCTGCAAAACAGAAATCTAAATTAATAAGTCTTAAAAAGTGATACTTTTTTCGATACTTTTCACAATTTATTACAATTAATATTTCTTAAATGCGGAATCCTTGCGTTAATAAAATTGACATAAATTTTTTAGCATTAATTGGTAAAATGGTGTAAAGCAAATCTGACATTATATTTAAGATTTTATGGCATTTTATGTTATGTTGTCCTCTAGCTAATGTACCGGTATGCAATAATTCTATCATCTTATGTTACAATAATGACATTGTCGATAATGCACTTTGAAGTCTATATTTAGTTTAATTGCATCCTTTGGAAAGAACTACAACTTCATGCATTAAACCAATAATATATGCATTATTACAGCTATGCATTTTATTTTCGTCTTTGTACCTATTGTACATACCCATATATAGTTGATAAGAGTTGTACTACTATATTTTCCACTTTCTATACTGTCTTTCAGAAAACTGTATTAGATACTCGTGTTCTCGGTTGACATGCAGGAAGTGTTACTACTGTCTGACTACAAACTGTTTGTACTACTTGTATCTGACCATACTCTATGTAATTCAACATTGTAATATTATAATAAATTTAATAATAAAATGCAAGGGCCAATATATTTGAAATAAACATATTTTAATAAGACATTTCGAGGGAATAAAATGTTTCGGAAAATCGGAGAAATGAAATATGTAGCGTCTGGCACGTACACAAGGATGTACGAAAAATGTATTGGCGCGAAACTTTACCGCATCTCTTGATTTCGAAGAAACGGTTGGCACGCGGATCTTCTTCTTCTTCTTCAAAATTGGCCTTGATTCCCCGAATGCGGTCTTGATGGTTGTCGTGTGGAGTACGGCACGCGGTTACGTACTTATACAAGATCGCCGTGTTACCGTTCTCCCACTAACACTCGAACGAGATCATGGTACGTATTCTTTCGTGTATTATCGCGTTACTTTTCGAGATGCGATAGTGACTAGTGCCAAAAGATACTGAACGTTATTGTAGCTTGTGAGTATTGCGATAATTAGTTTACATAATTGAAAATTTACGTTAGGAACGTATCGAGGCGAACGTTTGTTGAAGTATATCTGTCAGTATACAGTCGCGCGGTTTCTTTAGTTGATAAGAATCGAAATAATAGAGAACGAAATTTATATTTATTGTCGTAATATTTAAACCTTTATTTTTTATAAATTAATAAAATTTATAAGGCTCTCAGGTGATAAACAGAAACTCGAAGGAATACAGACTAAAGAGCCGTGACAGGGTGTTAGTGTCTAAATAATTGTTATTTGTAATTTATTACGAAAAATATTACCTCTGCCTGTCACGGCTCTTTAGTCTTTATTCCTTCGAATTATTTTCAAGAACTAGAGTGACTAGCCACATGACTCGTGTGGTAAATTCACTCGATATTGGACATTGCGTCCGCTTTCATAGAATTGAGGGAGATATATTAAAACTTAATTAATTTTAAACTTTTCGAAGATACAAAATATCGGATGAGCATCATAATCTGATAGTTAATTTGTGCGCGATCGTAATTAATCGCGTTTTCGTGAGCGATATGTATGTGTGTGTGCCCCACCAATACTAATGATCTGAAATAAAGAAGAACTCTAGAAGGAAATAATGATAACAAATTGAGTACCTTATATGCATAAAACATTTGTATATAAGTGTTATATGTATAACGTTACAGAGTAATATTAAATACGGGTTTTAAATTGTATTCTTTTGATTCGCATTTAGCAATTTTTATTGATTTGTAAACATTTACGGTTTTATTCATATTAAAAGTATCGATATTTTCGAGACTTCCAGTCCAGTTTTTTTAATTACAGTGGGATTGACATAAAATATTTTTAAATTTGCACAAAATTCTGAATTAAATTATGAAATCGTATGGAGAAAAATGCAAAATTGTTCAATAAATGCTCTTGCGTAATTAATACAATTTGTACATATTCATGTACTCATTTAATTAATTTCTCGTTATCATCTATCTTTCATAAAATACTGTGTGTATAACAATAGAACATAACGTTATTTACTGATAATGAAAATTATCTAACAACAGAACAAGTTTCGCTGTACGTGTTTTATATTTTCTGTATACTAGTATTTTACTTTAATTGTATATATCCACTTAATTTTCTCAAGTATTATTATAAAAGTGAAAGATGAAGGAATTAAAAATGTGCACATTAATGAAATGTGACAGAAAAAACTTGAGTCATATTATATTTTGAGTCACATTATAAAATATTAATACAATTTCTGATGAACTTGGGTCTTATCTTCCTTTCAATCAAACACTCACACTCAGGAATAATTAGCGTAAATTGAAATATATGATTACATCACTTTTTATATAAATTATTTAAATACATCTAAATATGTAATTTAATATTATTTATAATAATATTATTATTAATATTATTTACGAGCATTTGGTTCGTGGATCTCGAGAAACTCAGCGAACTAACGCAATATTGTGAGGTGATAATCATTAACAATTTACCGAAAATACGTAAACAGGAACCGTATCCAAGTTTCATCAACGCAACGCGTTTATTTTGCACATTGCAAATAACTTTGTTAATTTTAATAGTCTTCATCTGCAAAACATAGACGCGATAATTTGCCGGAACCTTTTCTGCTCAAATCTGTTTTAAAATAATCCTAAATACAGCTTGTTTCTTTATGCAAAAGTATAAATAATCACATCCTTACAATTTGTAAAAGGTCTTATTTTAAGGGCTGGAGCTCTGTCTTTGGCGGATAGAAATAAATTGTATTTTTGCAATTAATCAATATCTCATAGTACCTAGTCTCATCCGTGTGACAAATAATTGTCTACTCGTTGAAAGCGCCGGAACCTTAGTTTTAAAACAACGTTGAATCGTCGATTTTTCTGTGCAAAGATTTTATAGGTCCTAATCACTATCTAGGACGGAGTGAGCTGGTGCACGCGTACGTTTTACTTGACGACGGCGTATTGTGTTTCAAAGCATGTACTACATATGTTTTCACGCTTGTTTTTACTTTTTTTCAGTAAAGTATTAAGGCACCTGTCACATATACATGCACACTTGTATGCGCGGCATTCTTTCATGAATAGTGCGCGCGTGCTAGATTTTTTAAACGTTATAACTCCGCGCACAATCAGCGCAGCGATATACAACAAAATCCAATCCTCTTCGTTTCACGTGTCGCAGATACCTATGTTAAATGCAGACGTTTTTATTACGAGACCATATATATGCACGTAATAAAAAAGAATTAAACTGAATTGTATGATAAAAGGGGATTATTAAAGAAATACTAACCTGCTTGAAAGGTACAACAGAAATAGTATAGAAGAAACCAAGTAGGGATTTCTTCTTTATAAAAAATTTAACACTTCTACTCAAAGAATGATTGTTAATGTCAATGTTTAACAAAAGTGTCAAGCAGTTAAAAAAATGGCAGAAAAGGAAAACAAATTAAAAATAACATTGAGAAAAATAGGTACAATATAATCAAAAAATGATCGCAAATATATTTATAATTGCAGCAAACGTATTTTATATATTTCTATTCTGCTATTGCTGCTTCAGGTTATTGTGCTAATCATTTAATTTTACTCGTGGTGAGAAAAGTGGGGCGAATACGGATGCCGGGTAAACTCAATGAATCGCCATTTTGGTGTACGGACTTGACTCAAACCCGTATACATGACATTATCGTGAGAGGGAACAAATCACAAGAAAAATGACGGTATCAAGTTTTACCCGACGTTCGTATTCGCCCCATTTTCCCCTATTGTATGCTTCAAATATTGTGTCGATGAATAAACGATTTGAGTTAATTAGTACTCATTTTTTAAACGTTACCGATAACGCATGGTTTCTCGCCTATAATAATATCTTACAGATACGATTTTG